CTGACCCGAGCGTGACTCGACTGACTCGAGCGTGCCTGACCCGAGCGTAACTCGGCTGACCCGAGCGTACCTCGGCTGACCGGAGCGTGCCTCGGCTGATCCGAGTCTGCCTCGGCTGACCGGAGTGTGCCTGACCCGAACATCCTCGGCTGACCCGAGCGTGCCTCGCCTGACCCGAGCGTACCTCGGCTGACCGGAGCGTGCCTCGGCTGATCCGAGTCTGCCTCGGCTGACCGGAGTGTGCCTGACCCGAACATCCTCGGCTGACCCAGCGTGCCTCGCCTGACCCAGCGTGCCGGCGACGCCAGGTACCGTGCGCGTGCAGTGGCGTCCGGAGGAGGCGCTGCGCCGGTACGAGCGTCTACACCGGCCACCTACGCCGCCGCGTCGAAGTGTGGCCGAGGTTAGTACGCGCGGCGGCGCATCCCTCGACCCGCACGACCTCGTGTCGACGTGCTCGACGACAAGACTTCGTCTCGATCGTACGGGCAGCGGCCTGGCGGCTGAAAGCGGACCCCTTGCCAGACTTGGCCGGGGCTCACGCCGCCGCGCCGCCCGCCATGTACGCTTTGTAGTCCTCAAATTTGAGGCTTCACACTGAGCGTTCGCGCTGTTCAAAATGTTGTGCACCTCTCTGTTTCCAGGTCGGCTGCGCTCGTGCCTCGCCGTGTGCATCTTCAAGCCCGTGAAGTGAAGTGTGACGGGGTAAATAGACATCACACGTCAGATGTAATTCCGTTCATTGAATTGCCTGGATGCTTTTTCAATCACACGTTCATGCATGCGCCATCTGAAAACTGACGGTGTCAGGGTGTATGCAACAGATATGGGATGTAGTGGAGTACGCAATTTATCTAAGCCGCACGGCACGCCTGAAACTACATTGCGCCGGCTGTTTTCAAAATGTCAAGGGTCGCAAACACTTTTTTTTCTCACTCACACACCCTTGACGGGGTTTCGAAGTGGCAAGCCACCGTTCGTTCAGTTCCATCTCCGTTAGTACCATCCATCGCGTTAGACAATCTTGTTGCGTCAACCCCTAAAATCCGATGTTATCTACCCGCCTGTCTGCGACGCCCTCGCAATTTACCGTCCGTGTCATTACTCATCGTACGGAAAGATCCCAATCTTACAAGAGGGACCCTAAATGTCCGCTTATCATTGTAGGGAAGTTATGGTGCTCAAATTCACCAAAATAAACATTTGAAATCACCTTGGCTCAACATGTACTGATTGGACAACAGATATAGGTTCGGTGACACTGTTCATCACATCCTATCCAAAGGCACCAGTGCATTAAGTACACAGGTATGGTGCACGAACTGGCCGTGGAAATTAATCACCAGATTTTGTCGTGGCTCTGCTTTTATTAAAGACATCCTTATCTGATAATATGTTTTGCACACCAGTGGCTATAGACCAAAGGCAAACATTCAATGCACTCCAATGTGAATGGACGATATAAAATTTGCATCTCATTCGTTGCGAACGAGTTCTGGCGTGAAAACCCACTGCCTGCACCGTACAACGTGTACTTTGGCTCTCGGCGACTTCCGCGACACAGGCGGCCTGCCTGCGCAGCCACAGTCTGCCAGAGGGCACCACCGTCAGCGATCGCCGTCCGCTGCTGTCGCCACCAGCTGTCACCGTTCGTCAGGAAAGGTCGCTAGCCTGGGGCTTCTGGCTGACCGCTGCGGTCAAGGGGCCCGGGCGCCGTGTAAAGCGGAGCCCTGTCTGTTCGGCGCCGCTTGGGGCTGGACCCCCGCCGCACACGGCTGCCAGGGGCCTCACTGACCTTGGTGCCCCGAGGCCCGGCCGCTCGTCCGATCTCGATGCAGGGGGCTCTGGCGTCTTGATAGCTTGGTGCAGGCCTGGTCGAGGCGGAGACCCTGCCCCGCGCCTGAGAGGGGAGCGGGGCGCCGCTGGCCGGACGGGTCCCTCATTACAGTTGGTTGTAGGGGGCTCCCACCTGGCCCAGCGAATAGCGGGCTCTCAGTTCGCCTCGTGTTCTAGGCGTGGGCCTTGAGCCGCGGCGATGGCGGCGCTTTGGAGGCCGTGAGTGGATGATACGGCAAACAGTGCTGACAGGTTGTTTGTCTGTTTTCATTCTGGAAAGCGACCGGCCAAACCCGGTCACAGAGAGCGCTGAGATTCACTACGTGCCGGAGCAGAGTATCCTTTTTGCTGCTAGTCGTCTACGATGGAGTCTTGTGCTGTGGCGGTGTCGTCTTGCCTTGCCGGGATAGGGTCTTCGAAAGGTGGCATCTTTTTGCGTGGCGTTCGTGCGGTTCATGTCGCCTAAGCTTTGTATGCAGTCACCACTATGTACGTTATGTTGTGATTGGCATCGGTTGCGTGGCTTTTTAGCTTTCCTTAACCAATGGCATCAGTGAGTCTGCAATGGAAAGGACCAAAGAGGTAGCAGCGTGTATGGCCTTCGTGGATATCCAAGAAGTCGCTGTTGTAGCGACTATGCAATATGGTGATGTATGCAAATGTGCCAATATTTTTATCTGAAAGCATATCACTTTTTGAATTATTGATAACCCAGTGGAGTGCGGTTCATGATGGTCATTGGAGCCTTAATGCACTTTCCATATAATGTATATATATATA